AATACATACGGAGGAATTCAGTTCGAATTAGCAAGAAATCCAATACAATTGGATCCGGGAGAAGTTGTCGAGGAATTGTAATTCCAGGAGATGCATCATGATACAAACAATCCAGAGAAATATTGATCACACATTGACCTGGTTGAATATTTGTCGGATTTCCATTTTTGTCATGAGTACCAAATTCAAACTAACAATTAAAACATTTTGTTAGAAAATGTATCGATAAAAGGAAATTATATTTGGTTGTGACATTACGTATTTTCGAGGTTGGATCTCTGATGTTCTTGTGATACAAAAGTGCCACGCCTACAATTGATTAGATTCTTTAGAATAATGCAAACATTGGAATGCCACATGCACCTTAAGAAATATAACTTACTTGCATGCGTGTAGGCGGTTCGTCATTCTCAGAAAATGGACCGATTTTGACGACTATTGCATCATGGACACGACTAAGATTACCTAACCAATAATTTTTCACCTTGTCCAGGACATGTTGTTCACTCTCAGAATACGCAACTTCAACGACAAGATTTGGCCAAGGTTCTTTCTGAAATCATGAAAATATGAAACTCCTGTGCTAAAGATTTCAAACAAATATAAAAAAAGTTACCTTTCCATTGCTTCCGTTTGGTGATTGTACTCGTGATTTTGAAGGGCGAAAACTTGCATCAGCTTCTTTTCCGGAATTGTCAGCGCGAGTTCCTTAAGGAAAACAAAGATTAATCTTAAATTACAAACATGAGGCTGAGACAGTTAGTGTATTAATAGTTACGAGTTGCGCCAAGACCTCCGATACTGGCATCAGTTCGTTTAACAGGAAGACATTTCTCTATTATTTCAGAATTGATTGCACAAATAAAAATTTCGTGATGTTTTAATGGCAGTTCATAAATAATGACTTTATGATCTTTCCATTCCCATAAACCGCGAACGTTAAATTCGTCGGTGCGATGTTCATACTCGTCCAAAGTCGCGCCCTCAGCGATCACGTATGGAAGCCTTGTTGAAAATTGGTTATATGAGTCACTTACTCATAAATTTTTCAGTCAACATTAGAATAACTTACGTGGCCTCTTCCCATTTGGCTTGCGGGTGTATGTTGCCCTCTTCCCACCATAATCGGCGGAATTTTGTTAATTCTTCATCAGGCTTATGAACAAAAGTGTTATCGCTACAAAGAATAGCTAATTAGCCAAAAAATTATATGTGAAGTATCAGTTGCAATATTTATTTACCTTTGATTCGAGGTAATGGAGGTAAAGGAGGTATTTACGCCCTCTATGATAAAATGTGCTGTTATTATACTACCCTCAAAGGAATTGAAAAGAAGTTAAAATCACACACCAATTGACTCTGGTCTGCCGATCTTGCTAATTCTGCTAACGTTAGACGAACTAGACGAGCTAAAGTAACCATCACAAAAAGTTGGCATTCTTCAGCTTTTTTTGCAAGTATGTGGGAAAATTTTTGTAAGAGCAAATCAATTGATATATCATTTTTCATACTTATTGTCCGTAATCAAGCGGAAGTTAAA